AGGTATGTCAACAAATCTGGAATGATTCACGGTATAGAGCAGCCTTTCTCAACCTTTTTACCTTAGAGGAAGCCTTGAAATAATTTTCATGTTTCAGGGAGCCCCTGTATAAAACTTGCAAAACATATGAAACTGCACAAAACAATTCACTTTTAACCTACACAATTCAAGTTTTACAATTTTTACAACAACAGCAAAACAGTAGGCCTGTTGCTGCAAGCGCTAGCATTGCATGGTGCACAAGGTTAAAAAAAAAACCCAATTTTTTGTTGTTGTTGTTCAGTCATGATCTCTTGGCAAACCCCTAGCGACTTCTAGCAGAACCCTAGAGTTTCGCAAAACTCCAGTTGAGAAAGGCTGGCCTAGGAACTGGAATAATCAGTGTGGATGGCACCTACTAATTATGCAGTATAGTGCCATCCCATTATAAGATATGGTCGTGACATCATTCAATTATTTATCCCAATAAGTCATTATCAATTAGATATTTAATGTAACATATGCCACATTTCAGTTCAGCAAAATGGAATAGAAGAAAATAATAAATAAATACAACAGATCATCATACATTTAGGGTTAATTAGTTTTTTGGCTATCACTTACTGATATTATCAATTTTTCTTCTTTCTAATTCAGGATTTTCAAACACAACCTCCTTTTCCAGTATCAATAATGCCATTCTACTCAGCAGAGCTGCAGTACAAAGATGACTTGGAAGTTTAGCTGGGATACAAAACTTATGATCTGTTCCAGGTAACTCACAATTAATGCTCAGTCTTCCTTCCAGAAGTGGTTTCCTCAACCACTGTAATGACACATTAGAAAACTTATATAAAAAGGTTATATTTTCATTATAGACAAGCAAGATTTCAAATATTTCATTCCATAATATAACATTTCATGAAGATTTAATGTTTAATGATAGTAATTAAGGTTAGCATATGACCCTAATTGTCAAGGGATATATTTACATTACACATATAAAAAGTATACATTATCTATCTATCTATCTATCTATCTATCTATCTATCTATCTATCTATCTATCTATGAAATAAGTTGAAACTGACAAAAGTAAATGGCATCCACTACTCTTTATTCCATAGTCCATAGAACACACACTTTGCTTTTAGCCGTGTCTATATAAGATCCGTATGCAAGATTACGTTATAGTTTATGCCTCTAAGTGGAAACAAGAAAAAAATCTTCTGCATCAGCAGTTAGAAATTTTGGTTACAGAGAGATTGTTGGATCATGAAAAAAGTTCCGTGGAATAGGTTTATATTGCATTTGTATTAGGCAAGTTACAGCAGTTTTCTATGCTGAAAAGGTAAAATTCTCATTCAGTAGATTAAAGTTAAAAGTGTTGGGAATCTGGTAAATAAGCTGATAAGTTTATAGATCTATAATAATTTTATCAATAAAGAATTGAAACTGAGCGGCAACATAAGGGCGAACAA